CAAAGGTCAGTGAGTGAGTACATTTGCTGCAGTGGTGGCTCATTAAAGAACTAGATCATGACAAAGATTTAAAACTATGAAGAACGTTACAGTGTAACTATTTTGGTACTAGAACCAGTTCATGCTGGCCGAAAAGACAATGGTTTGTGGACTTGCATCCATTTTGTATTTTTGTAATATCTGTAAATATGAACTTTTTAAATTGCAAAAATGGTTTCTTTTGTAAGATGTTTTCAACGTTTACATTCAATTCAAGCCTTTGTATATTTTAGAGCTGTGCAACACTTTAAGTCTTGTATTTATTTTTAGTAAAAATGGTGACAGTTTCATTGTGAACCCCTCTCAAAAAAATGTACCAGAAAAGTTTGATTACCTAGAAGTGTGTATAGAAACTGCAAATAAACGTGACTGCAATTAAACAACTGATTTCTCTCTTCACTGTTATATAATTGCATTATTGGGGTTTCACAAACACAAGTGTTTTATTGGAAACTGGACATAAAGGAGGGGAACTGTTATGGCAAAAGTATGAGCAAAGTAATAATAAAAATGGTAATAAATACTGTCTCAATAATGGGCTCTAATCTAGTTTTGTATTTGAGAGGAGAAAGAACACATATCCAATGTCCAGTATACTTTCCTTGTAGCTCCTCTCCAGGCCAGGAAAAGATTTTTGGCTTTACTTTGAAATACTCACCTTTGTTTCTGATAAGTACTCAGACTGTGCCTCCTTCCCAAAATGGACAGCCTTGATATATGTAAGGCAATATGCTACTGAAGAATCTCATGCACTCTTTATTACATAGCAAATTCACGTGCCAGATACTGTTCGTATCAAGTGCTTTGCTTACGCTAACCCCCCACATTGTGCCCATTTTACAGATGGGGAAACTGAAGCACAGAGACGCTATTTGACTTGCCCAAAGCCATAGAGCTGAGTGTTGGGGCTGGGGTTCAAACCCAGCAAATCTGGCTCCAGGGTCTGTCTCCACCCTGAGATAACAACTTTTTAAAATAAAACTTGGTTTGTGCCAAACCAAGATTGCCAACGTCGATTGCTAAGGCCCCGCCCATCCGCCCCTGAAAATTCCAACACTGACGCGTGCATCTAGGATCCAGTCCGTGGTGTGTCTTTAGAAGGAGGAGGAGCAGAATTACATTTAAAAAAAAAAAGCTTCAAATAACCAACCAGTGACAGTGGGGAGGCCGGGAGCCGCCTCCAGGAGCCCTCAGCTCCGCGGAAACTGTCGCGCTCAGACTCTTCTGCGCAGCACTGGAGGCTCACGCCTACGGTTTAGCGCTGGGTTCCAATCCCACCAACGTCTGCAAACGAATACCTGGGAGGCCCGCACAGCAGCAGCGCAGTGGGAAGCAAAGCCCCTCCCCTTGGCTGTCTCCCTAGCTACGTCCTGCTCCGCGAGGACTGCGCATGCGCCCTGGGATTGGCGGGTAACCGGCCGCTCCTCAGAACCTGCGCATCGCGGATGGTGGTCACTGGTGCGTGCGTTGGGCCTTAGCTTGCGCGAGGGTCGCGGCCGGAGCGTCACGTGGTCGGCCTCGACTTCCGGTGGGAAGACCGTTAAAAACCTCGAGCCGTCTAACGGTTTTAACCGTCGCCGCTCGAGGAGACGGGCCAGCGCTAGCCGGTTCCAGCGCCCTCCGGAGCCTGATGTGGCAAGATCGGTCCCAGGAAAGGTTTATCTAGCGGCATTTGCCTCCCCGCCTTGAACTTTATGGCCTTCGGTGTGGGCGGGCAGCAGTTAAGGAGCGATTTGGCTTTAATCGCTGGGGAACGCCGGGGTGGGGTGGGGGGGACGAGAATTTGCCTTGAGGGAAGAGAAAGAATTTGCTTTTCTGGAAGAACAAGTCGATACTTAAATTTCTGTAGCGCTGCAGTGGGGTGATTCGGGGTGGTTTGAAGTGGTTTCCACCGGTTTCCACCGCCTCTCGCGGGATGCCAGCGCGTGTGAGCTTTTGAGATTTGGCCACTTGTTGAGTAGTTGGTGCGACTTTTGGGGACGAGTTGATCTTTTTTTCTTCCTTTCTCTTCCTTGGCTGAGGTGGTTGGAGGTCGAGGAACGACCAAAACTCTCAGACTATATATAATTTTGAGTTTAAATAATTGAAAACTAGCGAGTTGATTCATTATTACATCTTTTGATATTAAGACATTGATTTTGAGGCTTTGATGATAACCGCGTTTGATCGAAGACGAATTGTACAGCCTCGCTGTTATGAGGAGAAACAAAATACAGATGTAGGTTGAGCACGGTCGTTTGATAACTTCGTCTGTTGGGGATCGCTTCCCTCCCTCCCTAACCCGGCTCTCCCCGAATTCGGATTGCTCTAGGATTTTCAACTGGTTTAATGTTTACGAGTTGTGATTTTTACAAGCAACTTTTCTGTACGATGTTTTATAAAGAAAGGCATGGTTCGATTCAGTGTGCTGGGCGATGGGATACAGTTTGGGCGGCGTTATCTCCCATCTGTCCCATTTTGTAGTCCCTAAAGTTTTATACGGACAGTAGAAGGGCTTCTTTTGAGAGTCCTGATAGGAGATTTAGAAAGTGACCGTTCAGTGTATTGACACACAGTTTTGTTTTAAAAAATTTTTTTGCGGTGGTCTGTGTGTGTAATCTGCCTGGTTTTGCTGTGTATTCCTTGCAGTTTGTTTTCAGGTGAAACGCCGCCGTTTTCGTCCCTCACCTTTGCGGTAGGTTGAGGGCAAATGAATGCCTGGTGCCTTGGGAGCAGAATCTTCAAATGAGTTTTGAAAAATGTTTTTGAAATGTCTCAAATGCCTAAAAGATGTCTTAAAAAGCAGATGGTTTTTTGTTCTTAGGTTATCAAGAGCTTAGATTTTCTGTGGTAAAATATGAATGAGCTTCATATTAAGTAAACTAATTTTGCAGGATTTTGAATTTAACGAATTACATTAATTTTGCATAATCTAGTCATGGTTGGGCTCTAAGACAGTGTTGCAGAAACTTTATCTTGTGGGAAGAAGCGAAAGGCAAATAAAGTTGACACTGTGCCTGCTATCAACCAGATACGATGTTGAGTGCTTAATTATGTCATTTGGTCTTCACAGCGTTGTGAAGTAGATATTATTCCAAGTTTACGGGTTAAGAAATTGAGGCACAGAGAAATTAAATACCTCCCTAAAGCAAAATAGCAAATTTTGCAATTTGGCCTTGGATTCAAGTATTTCTTTTTTTTTTTTTAATTGGGGAATTGGAACAGCGCTGGGAAATTGGGGGAAGGGGAACAGACAAGTTGCTGTCGTTTTGTTCTTCAGTCTAGTTGTGGAGGACGTTGCTTCACTGGCCCAAGTTGGCACCATCATTGCGCTCTTCCCGGGCGAGGCAGATCAGTCGCCAGCTTCTGGACGGCCGCTCACGGAGGCTGCTGGCTACACACGGTAGCCCATGGCAACCCACTGCAACAGGGGCTGCAGCCTAGCCGTTGCCAGTGACTCACGGCAGCCCAGCTCCAGGTCGAGCTGTTGTTCAGCATCTTAGCTGTAGAGGGCAGTGTCACTGGCCCTCATGTGGGATCCGAACCGGGGCCCCCTGGTGTCCCAAGCCCGCTCTTAACCAATGCTGCACTCGGCCGGCCCTCAAGTATTTCTTAAAGCTCAGTTCTTTGCACTATGACCTGATACTTCAAATTTACTTACAAGAAATAGTTGCTATATGTGCAGTGTACAGGTGCAAGTGAATGAAAATTACATGATATGACCCTGAGGTTTCGTTGTACATTTGCTCCATGATAAATAGTTCTATTAGGAGGATGTTGTGAATATCAAAATAATAAAATAATAATAGCCAACATTGGGTACCCTTGCTATGCCAGTCATTGTTCTCAGCACTTGACATATATTAATTCATTTAATGCTTATGACTCTATGAAGCTGGTACTAGTATCCCCATTTTACAGATTTTTCTAAAGGACAGCGAAGTTAGGTAAGTTGTCCAAAGTCACCCAGCTAGTAAGTTGAAGACCTGGGACCCAAACCCGGGTTATTCTGGCCCCAAGCCTAAGTAAGGTCTTAGTGACATTTAAAGTTGCCTCACATATAACTAGCCAATGTGTGACAGTTGCCTTAAAAGCATTAAAGTGTGAATGTTCTGGTACTTGGGAACGCAGTGTCACTTCCAGATGGGGTGACACATAGCACCTTTGCTTTGTGGAGATGGAACTTGAATTAAGCCTTGAAGTTGAATAGGTTCTCCCAGGTGGAGAAACGGCAGGGTATTGTGGGCAGAGGGTATGAAAGGAGTGAGAGGTTCAAAGAGTGCAAGATCGTTGTCGATTTGTGAATGGGCCAGAGAGGTAGAAATGTCAGGAGTCCAGTGGTAGACTCAATGCTTGCTACTTCTGTGTCTAGCTACAGCTAAGTTTTAGCAGCATTGTAATTGACCCAGTAGGGAATTGTCTGATTGTAAGAGTCTAGCAGCGATTGGCAAACTTTGTCTATAAAAGGCAGGTAGTCAATATTTTAGGTGACCTGTGGTAAGAAGTGACCTATGAGAGGTGTGGAGGCGTCTAACTGTGTAGAGACCTTGTAGGCCTTAATACAATAGAAGTGTGGGTCTTATTTTGTTATTGTTATAGAAGGGATTCCATGTGATTTTAATAATGAAGTAAGGCACCTGGACGCTGGATCCAAGCTGTACCGCCTAACTAGCTATGAGACCTGGGTAAATTATTTAAACTTTCTTTGCCTCAGATTTCTCTTAAGGAAAATAGAGATAATAATAGAGCCTGTCCTGTGCATTGTCAGGAATACTAAATGAGTTAACACACATCAAGTGCTTAGAACATTGCCTGGCAGAGTAAGCAGTAAAATCTCTTAATAGTATCTGTACCTTGTGGTATATTCCAAATTTTCTATAGTGAAACTATACTTAATGAAAAATTATATATATATATATATATATATATAACAAAATTTTTAGAAATACAGTGAGAGTATAAGAAATACTATTAGAGTTGGGAAACTTTAATTCACTGTTCTCATTCTGTGAGAGTTCAGCAGAGGTACAAGATTGCTCTGTAGTGTTCTTTGTAGGAGTAAAACTTTAAAAGTGACCTGAATATCTATGAATTGGGACTGGTTAAATGAATCATGGCCTATCTGCATGGTAGGAAACTAAGAAGTTGTTAAAGTGACTGCAGTCTATCTAAAGGTATTGCTTTGGAAAGACTTCTGCCACCATCGATTACTTTTGCCTGTTTTTGAGCTTCAGATCAATTGAATCATACACTATATTCTCTTTTGTGTCTGGCCTTTACTCAACGTTACTGTGGTGAGATTCATCCTCTTGTGGAGCAGTAGTTGGTTTATTCTTATTGCTGTGTAGCCTTACTTTGTAAGAAAATACCAGAGTTTATTGCTCATAGTTTGTATTAGTCTTATGATCAGAAAAAATACATATAGTTTAAAAGAGTAAAATTTTGTTGAATTACAGCTTAAATTGGAGGTGTTTTATAACTTGAATTTTTTCCACAGTATTAGCCTGCATTTATCTAACTTGAGAGTTAATTTTCCTTCTATTCAGACTGTTGTGACAGCCCTGGCTCAGGATGGATAAAGGGAATTAGCACTCTCATTAATACACCCTTTCCAGTACTATGATGCCAGGGTTCAAATCCCTACAAGATATAATATGATCGCATTGCATTACGTGTATTTTTCTAGTTGCAGAGTTTAAATGACTCAGAACCATAACTCACATAATTCTAGAAGATGTTTTGGCTTATATTTCACATACATTTTTTTTAGGTTTAATATAAAATTTAACTGCGGAATCAATCATAATCTTAGAGCTGAAATGACTGTAGAGATAATCTCAACCAGTTTTCACCTGGCAGATGAGGATGTGTGTCTTGAGTGGTTTGCCCAGCCCACTCCATGGCAGGTGCCCAAGCTGGAACAGACTCCTGATTCCCTAAGTAAAAAAAGCCTTTTTGAGGTTCCTTATAAGAAGCAGAAGCAGTTAGGAATCCTGTTCTCTTGTCTCCAGCATTTACCCTGTAACTTGTAAATTGTGAAGCATTCACTTCACAATTTGAAGATGTGTTTGAACTTGATTCGTATTCCTAGGTGTGGGCAATGTAGCCCTTCAGTTTTTAAAGGTTTATTCTAAATCACAAATGGAAAATTGCTTGTTCTGTCAATCTAAAATTCAACCAGGACTCCCAATTCAATTTGAGTTGGCATTGTGAGAACATAACCACAAGATATAATATGCTAAGTTTATTACGGTAGTGTGTAAAGTAACTTTTTATAGTAACTTTTTTATGTGTTGGCTTTTCAGGAATAGAAGTTTTACCTCCTAGGTGACCAAACAGTTTCACAAGTAAACCGTCCAGCAAGTTTAAAAATAATTAGACCCAACTCAGAGGACGTGGAATTGCTCCTGTTGAACAAAGATGTTTAGCGGCTCTAGTGATGTTGATGTGGTTTGTATTTTCAAATTGAAAATCTGTCCTTGTTCTTTTCATTGTACCGTATTTCTTTTCTAAATTGAATTTAATTTCACACAATGAAATTCAGAGATCGTAAGTGTACATACAGTTCATGAGTTTTGACAGTGATCTGTAAAGTCCCTATGTACATTCATGTACAAATTTTTTTGTGAACAGATACTAACATTTCTTTTGGGTAAATATTCAGGAGTTGAATTGTTAAGTCACAGGGTTCTTTGTAATTTTAACTTTATAAGACTCCACCAAACAGTTTTTCAAAGTGGTTGTGGTCTTGTACATTTCTGTCACATTCTGCTATGTGTCTTGATCCCTGAAGTTGAATAAAAATATAGATGATTAAGCTATATATAATTTGGCTTAACGGAAAACATATCTCTTTACTTACATAAGGGTATGGATATTAATGCCACCTAAATGGTGTAGGCAATTCTCTTAACTTCTATCAGCCGTAACATATTTCATCTTTGATGATAATGTTAACTGCCAACCAAGAGTCATTTTTTTCCTGACATAATTATGTAAAAGCACTTGGAAAAGCGGAAGGCACTATACAAGGGTAACATGGTATATTTTTATAAGTACTGATCAGTAGCAAAAGACTTACCCAAAATAAGATGGAACTGCTAAGTCTTTTGAAACAGACATACATAGCTTCTAAGTATGTTTATTTTAAAATTATTTATATAGTTCATAATTCTTAGAATAAAGGTATTAAATGAAATTGAATGGTTATTTACTGTCTTTATTTATACCCTGTGTTATTACAAAAAATGTTTTAAGGTGATTTAGAGATTTATGAAGAAATAGATACTTAATGTTTCCTATTTTGTCCACAGAGTGGCACTGTTGGATTGTTTAAAAATCAAGTCATGTAACATGGTTCTTTGGGGTTAGAAATACTTGCTTTAATAGTAGTTCTGGTGTCAGATTACTAGAAAAACCAGTCTTTCTACCCTGAGGTAAACAAGAAGTTAAGCTCTATGGAAATGATGTCTTAATTGTAGTTGGGTTAATGAGAAAACAGTTTTCTTGTATTGATAGTATTTACAATGGACAAAGGTCTTTTGATATCACAAATAGGCTTTTGGAGCTCCTTGAAAGTTAAATTGAAGTCCTATCTTTTAGTTCCTGCAGCTTTCCTTTTAATTTATTAATAAATCTTCCTTAGATAAGAACTCGAATATCGGCTGGTGATGATGATAACACTTCTCTTTATGCATATGAACCAAATACAGCAGCTCATGCCCATAATGTAAGGAATGTTAATTTCTATTTGCCAAATGTAGTAACACTTAACCATTTTAACCCTACCAGACCTGAGGCCCTGAACCTAACTGTCCCCTATACCTGGGCTCCTGAGCATTAAAGAGAAAAAACCAATATGATATAGAAAAATGTTAGTTACATGCAAACAAGTGGTTAGAATAAGATGGAACTTGGAGACATTGTAGAAAATAGGTCTACCTTTCATCCAGCGCCATATAGCGGCAGATTCGGAAATTACCGAAAAATCGGTACAGCGGTCTGGTAGGGTTTAAAGAAAAAGATTTATATTCTTCACGTACTATAGAGTGCCTCTAAACCACACTCAAGAAAATATTATTCTCTCCTGAATTTGTTTGCTTCCTTTCACTACACAATGAGCATTCAACCATTTTACTTCTCTCTTTTTCTTATCTAGTAGGCAATTCAGAGTAGTGCTTACTCATTTTCAGTACAAAACTCCAAACATAGGTCCTTCTGATAGAATAAATTGTTTCCTTACTCCCTCATTTAATTAGTATTAATCATTTCCATTCTCATAGTAATGTGAGTTTTACTGTTATTCCATCTCTGCTTTAGACTAAGACTTTTGAAACTCTTTGAAAAGTTGTTGAAAAATAAAAACAATTTAAATAAATACAAAGTGGTTTTTTTCTCCTACTGTTCAGTTTGGCTTTTATAGAAATAAAGCATTAATTATTTAACTTTTAAAATCTTAGCCTGGAAGTAATCTGTCTGACATACCCGGTACCCAAGAGCAACAAAAAGTAGTTCTGGAAGTCCTGAATCATTGCCAGGTACAAAATTTCTGTCTCTCAAATGTAGTTTTCTAAAATACTAAGCTGAAATTCCCTTTATCTCATATAAAGAGGAAGTATACAATTAACTGAAATTTGCTGTATTAAATTTTTTATGATTATCACCCCATTGTGATAGTTTTTAACAATTTCTAGTTGAAGAGCATATCCAGGTGAAAATTTTATAATAGCAATATGTAGATTTTATAGCTTATTTTGAAAAGCCCTTAACTGATCAAACGTAGTTATGTCTCTTTCATCTAGATTGCTCAATATTGAATTCATTTTCCCTACAAAATCTTTAAAGGATATTGGCTGATTTGGATGAAATTTAGTTTGTGCCTAAATGCATTTCAGGATATCTCAATTGAAACAAAATGACAGCCTACCACTGTTTTTACAAGAGTAAATCTTACATAGTTTTGAGGGAATCTTATAAAAATTAGCATGTTGGTGGAGATTGATAGAAGTATGTAATTATCGAAGATTTAGTGAGCTGCATACCCTTGAGGTAATGAAAGTTCATTTTTTAGAAAGTGTTTCTGAACGTATCAAGTGTCTTGAATAAAATGAGCTAACATACTTTGAAAAGTAAAGAATATTTATGTGAGTCTTTATCATTGTTATCACTGAGAGCAGAAGTGGAATGCTTAAAGGGAACATACCGAGTCTTCTGGGGGAAGGATGTACAGAGGGGTGGGCCATAGAGGGGGAGAGAGGAGGTTCTGATTTTGAACAGGGCTATTCCTGGCCTACCTTCCATACGAGGTGTGACAGTTAAGTTCATGAACTTGCCACTGTGTGCTTACACTGGCAGCGCTGTACAAACAGCTCGGTAAAGTTTTATAAACTTGGTATATCTGTGTCTCACAGCTGTGTTCCTGTTGACGTGTGGTGGTGTCTTGCTGAGTGGTATTCATTATTGTTGTTCTGTGTTTTTGTGTGCTGTCGCAAGAATGTCTGAGCTTCATTTAGAGCAATGAACAAACATTACATTTCTTGTTAAACTTGGCAAGAATGGAAGTGAAATCAGGGACATGTTAGTTAGTCCACGTTTATGGGGATAATGCCATGAAGAAAATGGCAGTGTACAAATGGACTAAACATTTTTCTGAGGGGTGAGAATATGTCACTGATGAAGAAAGGTCAGGGCTGCCAGTAATGAGCAGAACAGATGAAAACATGGCAAAAATTCATCAAATTATGCGTCAAAAGCATCAGCTGACTGAGAAGCATAGCAGACCAAGTAAACATCGATAGAGAAACAGGAAAATCTTAACTGAAAATCTTTGGCCTGAGAAAGTTGTGCGCAAAAATGGTCCCGAAGGAGCTCACTGATGAACAAAAGTGAAGGAGAGTCGAAGTTTGCCAAGACCTTTTGGAGAGGCAAGACGATGTTTTGGGCCGTGTTATCACTCGTGATGAAACATGGGCATACCAATATGATCCTGAAACGAAGCCTCAAAGTGCATAATGGAAGTCAGCCAATTTTCCAAGACCAAAAAAGTTTCGTCAGTACAGATCAAGAGTCAAAACGATGTTGCTAACCTTTTTTTAATATCAGAGGGATTAATCATTATGAATTTGTACCAACTGGACAAACAGTTAACCATGTTTACTGTTGGGAAGTGCTGAAAAGGCTGCATGAAAAAGTTAGATGACCTGAACTCTTCACCAACAATTCATGGTTCTTATATCACGACAATGCGCCGGTTCACACTGCACTGCCTATGAGGGAATTTTTAGCCAGTAAACAAATAACTGTATGGGAACACCTTCCCTACTCACCTGATCTGGCTCCCAATGACTTCTTTCTTTACCCAAAGATAAAGAAAATATTGAAAGGAAGACATGTTGATGCCATTCAGGACATCAAGGGTAATAGGACGACAGCTCTGATGGCCACTCCAGAAAAAGAGTTCCAAAATTGCTTTGAAGGGTGGACTAGGCGCCGGCATTAGTGCATAGCTTCCCAAGGGGAGTACTTCGAAGGTGACCATAGTGATATTCAGCAATGAGGTATGTAGCTCTTTCTCTAGGATGAGCTCAGGAACTTAATTGTCTGACCTCGTATAGCACCCATTTAGTCCTCAAGAGAACTCTGAGAGAGATTTTCATCCCAGTTCTGTACATGGAGAAATTGAAGCACAGAGAAGTAAAGTAACTTGACCAAGGTCACAGAGCCAGTAAGTGGCAGAATTGTTGTATTTAAGCCCAAGTGTGTTCTCCTAGAGCCTGCACTATTTACCTCAGCCCTGTAGGCCAGTGGGTCTCATACTTAATGGTGCATCAGAATCAGCTGGAGGGCTTGTAAAAACAAAGCTCGCTGCCTCCACTCTCAGAGTTCCCAATTCATTAGGGCTGGGGTGGGAGATTTTGCATTTCCACCAAGCTAGTAGGTCATGGTGATGCTGCTGGTCCACGGCCCACACTTTGAGAACCACTGCTCCGGGCTTGTGATCACTTTCTCTGTTGAAATTGTCTCTTTACTTGTCTCTCTCTCCAGCTAAAATGGGAGTTTGTTAGGACAGGAGCTGGTTTTTTTCCCCCCTCGATGTCCACATTTCCAGCATCTAGCAACGTAGTTCTGACCGGTGATAGGACCTCAATAGATGTTTATTGGAACGAATGAATGAATGAATGAATGAATGAGGAACTGGTCCTGGCTTCTTATTTAAGTGTATTTTTTGTTCAACTGAAATTTTTGGGTATTTCAAGAATTCTCAGGTTTTATCAGTCACATACCTGATTGACATATAGGGGATGTGTACTCAAAGGTTTTATGAAGTTAATTGTTGATTATGATTTTAAAATACTTTGAAGCCAAAGGTCGCATCTGTTACATTTGGCTCACTGTTCTTTCAGTGGAACGCTCACTGCATATTTGTTCATGCCGTCATCATATGGAAGGAGGCTCTTTAGCCTTTTAGCGAATTTGAAAATTTCTTTCTTAAATAGTACCCTCCTTGATGTAAAATGACTCCCGTCATAAATGTGATGGGTTCTAGGAATTGTGGTACATTTATTTTTCCAGAATTAAAGCTTCTTAAAATGTGTGCATGACATGGTATAGTCACAAAGGAGGCTGGGGCTCCATGTGTCAGCCAGCTGGGCTCTATGTCACCAACAATCAGATACCGAGTGAGAAACAAGAAATTTCTGACGGCTTGAGAACTTTTCTTTGTTCCTAGCAGTTAAAATTTGGCTTATTAGTATTTTCTTATATGTCACTGTTCTTTTGAAATAGAAACTGCTAATTTGTATTATTATAGGCCATCCGAGATGCTATTAAAAAGCTGGATAAGAAGGTTGGTGTCATTAATGGAAAGGTTACAAAAATTCACCGTATTCGTGTGAAATCATTGTGGCAAAGTCACGTAAGTGTTATAAAAATATTTTCACAAGTATAATAAACCTCTGGTTTCTGAAGATGCTTGTCAGTTAGAAGTGAGAGAGAACTAATAACTGAGATTGCAAGGCTGATCTATATTTAGTGTAGCAGCAGATGGGAAACTAAACCTCTTTGGGAAGAATGGTGAAGTTTAGTTTTGAGAAATGTATCAACAATGGGTATTTTTAATGTTTGTAACCATAATGTATAAAATGCAATTAAAATGTAGGGTCGAAGAGGAATAAAAATCATATAATCAAAATAGACCATTAATATTTAATAATAGAAAGCAGTGTTGCATGGAAAATAAATATTAATGTATTTACTGTTTATTTCCTTTTTTGCTCACTCACAGTTGGTTTATTATACTGGGTTTGTGTCATTTCAGAAGCCACTTGGATTTGCATACAGAAAGTATAGTTACCTGCTTTCTAGAAAGACCAAATTGCAGAAACCAAAGAAGAGTCTTTCTCCCCTTATGTCGTCACCTGAAAATAAAAGTTATAGTCCAACCGTACCAGTAGAAAGGCGAGACAATGATTCCTATAACACTGTGGGATCACCTTACCAGTCAGAGGATTCCCTGGGACGGGATCAGGAAGCATTATATGCGAATCAGGATCTGAGCCTCAGCCAGAGTTCCTCGAGCCATAACTCCTTCTCACAATCCTATCGGCCATATTACACTTCTGATAATCCAGCTCAGGACTACCCTTCCATGCCCAACTATTCCAGTGCAGGGCCTCAAGGCACCAACAGGATCGTCTCATCTCCCCAAGCTTCCACAGCAGTGTCTACAGACATATTGGCCCAAGACAGACCCAGTGCCATGTGCAACCCTGAAATGATAACTTACCCACCTTTACTGGAAAATAAGAGCCTCAACTATAGTACTTCATCTGTCTGCATCCCGGCTGGCTACCGTGAGTATGAAACACATTACTACAAGTAGCACTATTTAACCGATATTGCTCAGTGTCCTTGGTGCAAGACAGTTAAAGCTGTTTGTTGCCTATTTTAGGGCTGATTTGGGTGATATTCATAATGATGACTAACATTTATTGTTAGTTTCTGTTATGCAACAGACACTGTGCTAATTAACTAAACATGCCTCTTCTCCACTAATACTCATAATAATCTCATTGTGAGTTTTTAACCTTTGTTTTTCTTAGCCCTTTCCCTGGGTAAATACGCAAAATGTCCCTAAAGTACCCAGAGCTCAGATGATACAGAAGGTATACCTATGTCTAATTGATGCAAAAAAAGATCAAAATTGTATTGACGGTCCTTGGTTAGAGACACAAATCTTCTTAGCGAATTACAAAACTCACTTCTGTTATCACACACTCAGTTTAGGGAGTCAAGTGCTCTGGTGGAGTAAATGTATACTTGTCCAGACACAAAGCAGTTTCAGCACAACTTAGTGAACAGCACAGCTAAAGCTTTCTGAAGTGTGAAACTACATTGTTTCATGTCTCAGGTACTTAGTTTTTCAACATATAAACCTTGAGCCAGAATATCTTATTACTGTGCAATTCAACTTGAAAGAGGCATTGAATATAATGTTGATGTTACTTCCAACCTAACTAAGCAGGAAATACCTTGTTTTCTTCAAAATTCAGATGAACATTTAAGCTTTGAGAGACAGGAATTTAAGGAGTAAGGCAGGGCCGGCCGAGTGGCTCAGTTGGTTAAGAGCTCTGAGCAACAGCGGTTCGATGCCTGGCCCGAGCTGAGCTGCCACTGAGCTGCCAACAGGTGGCAGGATGGCTCAGCTAAAAAAAAATTTTAAAAAAAATACAGAGTAAGGCAATGCTGCAAATGTCCCTATTGAATACATGGGAGAGATTCGGTAAAAGAACTAATTTGGTTCTCAAAGATAACGGGGTTACTGAAATTCATTGATTCAAGTGAATAAATGTAAGCAGTTGTTAAGCTAAATTTGGGACATCTCCATTGTATTTGGCTAGTAAAATAAACCTACTGTAGACAGACCAAAAGGAGAGAGAGAAATTCATTGAAATACTTAAAGAGAGTAATAGGTTAGCTTAGATTAACCTAATTTAACCCAAGCAACAAATCTTTTGCTGTATTGGCCTGTAGCCAAAGAGACCTCAGATTGCTCAGTCTGTTTTATGATCTTCGAAGCTTTAAGGTAACTTCTGAGGCTGCTTTTGTTGTTCAGGAAGTTCAGATGGGGTGCTCGTGGGTAGCCATCATGTCATCTTTATCTAGGCTTTTGCTGGAATTTAAGCTTGGAGTCCTGGGTCCTTGCCAGGATATTTAACAGACGGTTCCAGAAATGAAACCATTACTCCCTACTTAACATCTCTTCTTTCAGGATAATGATCAGGTCAAGTTTAATTTGTCTTTCCTCCCCCCACCACCACATTGACGCTGCAACTACACTAGGTGGAATTGACCTGGGTATGCTAAAACAAAGCTGTTCTGGTGATCCGTCAACCTGGTCCGTAGAAGAAGTGATCCTGTTTCTGAAATGTATGGATCCTCACATATTCACCTACCTCGCTGACCTCTTCAGGAAACATGTAATGTATCTTTTGATCCAGTTTTCCTGCCATAATGCCTTTGAATGACCTCTGTACAGGCCCTTCAGTTGCATGCTGATTAGTGTGGATGGTGGGGGAACCCTATCAATTGATTTTTTCCATGTGTGAGAAAGGTTACTTTGCCCAAGTTAAATCCTTAAATGGTAGGGCCGGCCAAGTGGCTCAGTTGGTTAAGAGCTCGCTCAAGAGTTTGAGCTCTGAGCAACAGCGGTTCGAGTCCAGCCCGAGCTGAGCAGCCGCTGAGCTGCCAACAGGTAGCAGGATGGCTCAGCTAAAAAAAAAAAATCCTTAAATGGTAGAGGCTGCATCTGTGTTTTAAATGAGTCCCCCAAAATACTAGTTCTCAAGAGAAGATGATTTAGCATGACCATTCTTAGATGTCTTCTCCTTTGTAAGAACAGCTACTAAGGTCCTCCTCCCCACCTGCTCCCTGCTCAGCCCCAGGACTGAGAGTAGGAGGGTGACCACAAGCTGTAACAGGGTGTCCTCCTTTAGCAACTGATTGCATTTGGCTCAGTTCTGTTAACCCTCTGTGATTATTGACAATTTGGGACGCAGATACCCTCATGCTATTTACAAAGTGATGTCATGGACTAAGTTGTTATAAGTTCTAATTTCAAGTTTTACTTAGCATTAAAAGTATAGAAGGTGCCTGACAAAGGCAGTATTTATGGGATTTCAGGTCTTTTCAGACAGTGATATATGATTCAGTACAGTTTTATTTTTAAACCACATCTTGTGAGAATCAAATAATATGCTTCAGCAGCATCAGTTGGTCAGTTACTGTATAAAGAATGTAAGGAGAATGCCTTGTATCTATCAAGTCATATTTTTATAGTTTTTCCTAATGAATAAAATTAGTGGTGACATATCTGATATACACCCTTTACAATATGGTAAGAAGAAAATTATTAATCAGTTTTGGCATCTAATTAGCTTCAGAGAACTAACTTTCAACATCAAAACAACACTGTATAGCACATTTACAGTTTGCATTGATTCCGACATACTCATATTCCCAGCCTTTCTAAGAAAGTGAACCATCTGAAATTCATTTCCACCATTCATAGTTTTTTTTGTTTTTTGTTTTTTGTTTTAAGCTGAGCCATCCTGCCACCTGTTGGCAGCTCAGCGGCAGCTCAGCTCAGGCCAGACTCGAACCGCTGTTGCTCAGAGCTCAAACCTTTGAGCGAGCTCTTAACCAACTGAGCCACTCAGCCAGCCCCATTCATAGTTTTTACTGTTTTTGTCATAGCTATGCAGTATTTTATTCAATACAGTATTTAAAATTAGGTAGTTTGACAGTTAGGACACGTTTAAGATATTAGGTTAAATTTCCTTGTTCTTAAAATTTGAAGTAAATTTACAAATGATCAAATGATGTTTCACTGTACAAATTATATCTTTAATAGTTTTCATCAAACAAATGCCTGTTCAGAGAATATACATCTGGAATGAGCTGCCCTTTAATTGGTCTTACATGTTCTTGTATATAAAGAAATGATCATTCTGATAAAATACGAAAGCATTATTAATTACTGTAATTTCTTTCTGTAGGATATTGATGGGAAAGCTCTGCTACTACTCAATAGTGACACGATGACAAAGTACTTGGGGCTTAAGCTAGGGACAACTGTGAAGTTGTGCCACTACATCGAAACGCTTAAAGGAGGAAAATAACCATTAAAAAAAATTTGTATAGATTTAGATTGGACTTAATTCTAGGAAGACCAATGCCATCTTGGTGTAAAATCATTTTTCTTTCCTTAGACGTTTTCGTTGTGTAGAAGGTTCCTCTAAAAAATACGTTATATCCAGAATTGTAGAACTACAGTCCAGTCCAGTCTACTTCTTTAGAAACCATGTAACATGTTAGTATTACCATATTCACATTGGCAGTTTGTTCTCTAGGTTTTTTTTATTATTTTATCGTACAGTTGACAAATATAGTTCATGTAGGAAACAGAAAAACACCTTTGATTTCAGTTAACGTTTATATATAAAACCAAAACAGCTAAATCTAAAGGGGAAAGATCAGGGATTGACAAGTTCTCTAATGAATAATCCATGAGAAGCTTTCCTTAGAAGAGAATTTCAAGATGCAACTGTAGATGCTGTCTCTTTCTCAGATAGTGTGTATCTGTTACTGCAGTGTTCGTTTCGTGTTCTACCGGTTTCCAGAAGCGGAATGGCCATATAAGTTATTTTCCTTTTGTTATTATTTCTCTGTTGTATTCGTTCCTATTTAAAGAAAAAAAAGCAAGCTTACAGACTTTCATAAAGTATTCTTAGCAGTTTTTCAAAATTATAGATAGAATGGTCATTTTATTCAATAGATATACTACAAGGGTTATATGGGTGTGGCATCTGATTATATATTCTTTTCCACTAAATACCTTTTATTTTAAAACTTCTAATATTTTAATATTAAAGATTTAATATTTTGCCTAAGCTCAGATGTTTAACTCACATCTCTTTATGAGGATACCTATGTCCAAATTTTTAAAAGGTTTTTATTGTCTGTGTGTATTTCTCATATGGACACTGTTTCATATATTATTCTATATCTAAATCTTTTCTTTTTGAATTTAAAATGTTACTTTGCACTTCTACAGAGGTAAAGATTAAAAGTCTAGGTATAGTGAGATGTTTTTACGCTATAAAAAATACGCACATCACTACGTCTCAGCTCATTCTTCAGGGTTTCCATACCGGGAAGTTCTCTGTCTTGTGCAATATTTCTAGTTAATTTGCTTTCTGAGCCATTTATCCTGCTAAACTTCAGAGGGTACATTCTGATTTGTTTGGGACTTTATTTTGAAAATTAGAACTTTCAGGGCCAACCGAGTGGCTCAGTTGGTTGGTTCCCCAATTGCCCACTGAAATCTTTTTTAAAAAAATTAGAACTTTTAAGCAAAACATGTTCACTATTTGTTATTTATTACATTGTTATATTGTATAAAAGTTGTTGTAATGTTTACAAGCTATGAGAACTGGTGCTAAGTGTATTAGCCATTTGTTCTAAGTGCCAGTAAAATGTTCATCAGGGGCCAGAATGTACATTTTCTTTTTCGAAAACCAAGTGTCCTTTATAAACACATACAACTGTTTACTGAGCATATGTGATCTGTAGAGTGGTTTTCTATATAATATTTATTGCTTTTTGTGTTATAAAGCAAGATTCTAATTTGCACTTTTATTTTATTTTTTTATTTTTTCTTCTTGTAGAATAATTTGTACTTTCAATCTTCTCTCAAATTGTTTGTGTGAAGATGCTGTGCCCAGTTGAACAGTCCTCAGGTGTTTGTATAAATACGATGTTTTACGGTTGTCAGATTTTAAAATATAATAAAGTTAAATAACTGCAACAATTAGTGTCAAAGCTTCAGATTTCATTTTGCTTGCTTTCACCGCATTATTGAAAAAGAAGCACTCTAGAAAGTTGGTGGTTTTATATGTCCAAATACTTGAGTTTTAACACGTAACCTCATTCTGTAGGTAAATAGATTCCTAGGAGCAAAGGACTGATCTCTTGAAAGGGCCTTAAACGAGACCCCAGGGGAACAGTATGAAGTTAAATCAATGAGCTTTATCTGTGCTCAAAACCTTTGTTACTTGCAATGTTACTGATGCAGCGAGCATGCTAGAAAATGCCAGTGCCCCCAGATATTGTCCTGCCTGAGTTCATGCATCTGACTGGCAATTCTGGCTACTTTCCCCGCTGGGGACCAGAAGTTAAACCATCTCTGTCTTCAGCTCTCCCAGCTCACATGGTGGAAAGGTCTTAGACCAGCAGTCCTCAACCTATGGGTCGCGACCCCTTTGGGGGTTGAACAACCCTTGCACAGGGGTCGCCGGGTACTCGTATGTGGGCGTAGCTGCATGTGGGCCTGGAGACGGATAGAGGAGCGGTGTCTTGGTTCCTAAGACCATCGAAAATATGTGTTTTCCGATGGTCTTTGGCGACCCCTGTGAAAGGTTGAGAACCTCTGCCTTAGAGGCTCAGGGTCGTGCTTGAATCTCCTTTGGGACCTGACCCCTCAGCCCATCCGCCCGGGAGCTGCTGCTCCGTGCCTGGGAACCCAGAAACTTCCTGCTGTTGCTTCTCAGCAGTGTGTCCTGTAGTTCCTGGAGGCGACGGGGCCCTAACAGGCTCCAGAAGTGATCCTCAGGTGACCGGGATGAGGTGTCCATTTGCTGCCTGAGACTTGGGTCATTCAGAACAACTTGTTTGTTCACTGCCTGGTTGGTAAATTTTAGGTCCAGAGATGAGCACGTTAGCCTCCTGTGAACTTCCCTCTAGTTTTGCCTCTCAATCCATCCTTGGACACTCGGTAGCCAACAGAAGTGCACCTTGGGCCCTCTGGGCACAGCGAACATTTGCTTGCTTTGGTCTGCGTGATTTCTGATCATGGGAATGTTTGACAGTACATGTTCCAGAGAAAGACTTCCCAGACTTAAACCGGGCCCCCTCTGTAAGCATGAAAAAGCTAAGCCCTTCTGTAATACTAGAAATGGGAAATTAAACATTACAACCAGGAACAGTGTAACTGGAGGGGAAGCACTGCTTTTTCAAGCTACAGGAGGGACTGTACTCCACTTGGCTGAGGAAGTGAAGTACAGTTACGTTTCTGGGGCTCTTTGCTCTGTGTGATGCTGGGCCTTGCTTTTATGTCTAAGTTCTGAGGCTGATGATCCAGGGAATGAGGGGGCTATAGGGGAGGGAAGACGTGCTAACCAGGGCCCACCTTCGGAATGCATGGCGGACACTTCTCCCCTCGCCCACCCCCAACATATCCTCTTGTCCAGCAGCTTGATGGAATTGAGCTTTGAAAGCAACTCTCCCCAGTGAGCACAGACTCAGCTTGATCTTGTCCACACTCCCTGCTATACTAGAGGCAACTTGAAGGTAAAATCTTGTGCCTACCCCTTTCTTGGCCCTGAATCCTGCTTTGGCCCATGGGATGTAAGTGGACATGAACCACATCACGTCCCAGCAGGAGCTTTACAATCGCTTCTTGATCATCTCTCATTCATTCCCCCTCTGCTATGAGCACAGTGTGTGCCAAATAAAGGCCTCTCCTTCAGACTGGATTCTGGAGCCAGAAGGCACGCGGAGCTGGGCCAAGTCATCCTGTCACTTCCTACAGAGTACATGAGCAGAAAGTCGAGGTGTATGGTTGTAACTTAACTGGGTTTGGGGGATGTTACCACAATTCAAAAATACTGTACTGTGAAATGTACCTGATGCACTTCGTGACATCGTGTACATTTATTTGTACATTGGATGTCTTGCCCACTGGAGTAAACTCTCTTCATAAAGACCGCGAGTCTCACTAGCTTGTCTCCTGCTGTCCCCAGTCTCCCGATGGGCACCTAGGACAAAGTAGGGCGCAAGTATTTATTGAATGAGTCATACTCCTGGGAATCAAATTTAGCTTGATTTTGTTGTTGTACTGTTACCGAGAAAGATGCACATCAGCTCTTTGTCTTCTTGAAGGAAAGAATTCAGTGAAGAGACAGTTTGTGCAAGCATAGAAAAGCAAGAAGTTTATAAGCAAAAGCAAGTAAACTCCGAGACAGGCTGACCCAAGAGAGGGAAGCAGCCTCGCCTTACATTGTGTGAGAGGTTTTTTTTTAAAGATTTTTATTGGGGAATTAGGGGATGGGAACAGCGCTGGGGAACTGGGGGAAGGGGAACAGACAAGTTGCTGTCGTTTTGTTCTTCAGTCTAGTTGTGGAGGACGTTGCTTCACTGGCCCAAGTTGGCACCATCATTGCGCTCTTCCCGGGTGAGGCAGATCAGTCGCCGGCTTCTGGATGGCCGCTCACGGCAGCTGCTGGCTACTCACGGTAGCCCATGGCAACCCACTGCCGCAGGGGCTGCAGCCTATGCCGTCACTGGCAACTCACTACAACCCAGCTCCAGGTCGAGCTGTTGTTCAGCATCTTAGCTGTAGAGGGCAGTGTCTCTGGCCCTCATATGTGGGATCCGAACCGGGGCCCTCTGGCATCCCAAGCCAGCTCTTAACCAACGTGCCACTCGGCCGGCCCTGTGTGAGAGTTTTTATTTCCTTGGGTAGAATCATCTCCCCCTCTCCCTCTCCAGTACCCCTCATTCTCCCAGCTGGTAAGCCTCGTACCCCCTTCTTGCTCCCAAGGTTGTCTAAACTCACTACAGTGGCCCTGAGAAGCAGGGTGTACATTCTGATAAGCGGGATGTGTTTTTTTTTTCTCTCTCTCTAGCTTCTAACAATACATCCCTTTGATTTAGGGCAGCGGTTCTCAACCTGTGGGTCACGACCCTTTTGGGGGTCGAACGATCCTTTCACAGGGGTTGCCTAAGACCATTGGAAAACAAAAAGATACATTACAATTCATAACAGTAGCAAAATTATAGAGTAGCAACGAAAACAATTTTATGGTAGGGGGTCACCACAACATGAGGAACTGTATTAAGGGGTCCCAGCATTAGGAAGGTTGAGAACCGCTGATTTAGAGGCATGTGTGAGCCTGGAATCCTGCTGGGCTAATAAAGCATTGGTACCCTAAGTGAGGGCAGCTGTAAGGGGTCTTGACTCAAGTACGAGCTGCAAGGGGCCTCCTAACCAGGGCTGGGTCTCTCCTTCTCCTGTTCATTTCTATCTATCTACGTACCCTATGAGTACCAAATTCATCCTGAGCCTTTCCACAAGTATGAGAGTTAATGCCATACATTGCCATTTGGTATTTAGATAATTTTCTGGTTGCTTTTACATACATACTTCCAAGCATTAGAACTATAGGAAGAAAGAGTGACTTATTGGGGAATGGTATGGTTCTGAAGAGAATTAAAACTCTAAAATTTTCACCCAGTCACCTGCTTTAACATGACATCTGGCTAAGCAGCCATTGAGTCACTAATTCTTGGATTCTCACTAAATACCTGTAATTAAATGAAAATGATGAACATGCATGGTACCCCTGGAAACTGATTCATACTTCCACGCAATCTGGTCTTTGCCCATCTCTTCCTGTCTTACTGTGATCCATTCCCACACATAATTTGGTACCTGTCCATCTCTATTTGTCCTCCTCTGGCCCATGTCCATCACTGCAAATTGTATGCCTTGTTGTAAATTCAAACTGACACATAGACTTGCCCCGTTCATCTTTCCTTCTGATTCACCCACACATATGATCTCATCCATGCCGTCTCTCTTACTGTGGTCCATCTACACATACACTAGTCCTACACATCTCTTTCTGTCATTCCATGGTCCGTACTCAAAAATGATCTCATCCTGCCTGTGTCTTTCTATGTTACTGTTCTCCTGACCCACACATGATCTTGTCCCAGCCCATCACTATATGATCTGGTCCCTGCCTATTGCTGTTTTTTCTCTTGTAAAAAACCAGCTTTACTGATGTATAACTGGTAATTAAAAACTGCATGTATTTCCCACCTTTGTGTCTTACTATGATATATACAAACATATGATCAGGCCCCTGCACCTTTTTCCTTTCTTACTCTGATTCATCCCACATGTGAGCTGGCCCTTCCCATCTCTTTCTTTCTTACTATGACTTATATCCACACATGATATGGTCCTTGCCCATCTATTTCTTACTTACTATGATTTATTCCCACACATGATTTATTCCCTGCCCATATCTTTTTGTCTTCCTGTGATCCACACCGTCACATAATATGGTTCCTGTCCATCTCCTTCTCACTCACTGTTATCAAGCTGCACCAGCCATCTTTCTGATCCTTCAGTGTATTAGGTTTTTCCATCCTTGAAGGCCTTTCACTTCTTATTCTTTTTTTCCTGGAATTCCCTGGCCCCAGAACTTGGGACTGGCTTCTTTGTTTCATTCATAGCTCAGATGTCACCTCAGAGAAGTCACCTCTCAGAGAACTCTTCTGTGACTGTCTCATCTTGGTACCTCCTCCTTTCCACATCATCCAGTTTCATTTTTTCATACCACTCAAGACCATCAGAAATTATTTTGTTCTTTTTTTTTCTTACCTTCCTTTATGAGAATGTAAGCTCACTGCTGTAGTGACTGGTAGGTTTGGTGAACTTCTTTGTTCCAGCCTTAGGACGTTGCCTGGCACCACAGAGGAATTCTGTAAGTATTTGTAGAATGAACAAATGAATTCTAGAAGTAATTACATGGTAGGCAGGAGTGGTCAATAATATTAAATTGTGTGGAGAGGACCGGCCGAGTGGCTCAGTTGGTTAAGAGCTCGCTCAAGAGTTTGAGCTCTGAGAAACAGCGATTCAATTCCCAGCCCGAGCTGAGCAGCCACTGAGCTGCCAACAGGTGGCAGGAGGGCTCAGCTAATATATATATATGAAATGTGTGGAGACAC